CTGTGACTCCGTGTTGCTTCAAGCGCATCATTCTGCGCACGGGATGCGCATAAGCGCTTTGAGCCGCTCTGTATTTGGAGCCTTTAGTATCATAATACTTTTGCGCAATGAAGGATTATTAAAGGGGTCATATGATGCGTTTTCAATTTTTCCTTTCTCTTTGGAGTGTTACAAGCTCTTGGTGCATAAAGAAGATCTGTAAAGTTGCAAAGACTGTGTAGGCCTACCAGATTTAGTCCTACACTTATTTACTTTTATTTGTTACCCACTAAATAATGTATTTTTTTCACTAAAAGTTTAGGATTTTATAAAATTATTGTGCACTCATGATTTTTCTAGACTAACTTTTGCTACTGAATTATCCATTAACCTAGTTTATAATAGTATTTTTGTCATAGATTATGATTATATATTTTTTTGTTTGTTATTTTTTCTTTATAATGAAGCTGTCCATATTTAGTAGATTGTGTGTAACATTCAAAAGAGTGATGATCGACCTACACATTGAGGTATAGAAATTCTACACTGATTAAAAAAAACTGCGCTGGTATCTGATTGATATCGGTATCGGCAGATACTCTGAATTTTTGGTATCGGATCGGGATCGGTTCTGAAAAAGTGGCATCGAGCCAGCCCTAGTTTTTACAACCGCAGATACTCAGAATGTTTGGTATCAGATCGGTATCGGTTCTGAAAAAGTGGTATCGAGCCAGCCCTAGTAATTAATGACAGAATTTTCATTTTTGGGTGAACAATCCCTTTAATTATTGGAATGGTTCAGTGACTCAGTCATAAAAAAGACTTGCCACCACCTACTGTCATAAAGATGAAGCCTAAAGAAAGTGCCACAAATAGGGATGTAACGATTAACCATGAGCCGGTCGAAAATCGATTCAAATATGTGACGATTCAAATCGGTTCAGATGCCAAACAAATCGTGATACAATTGGAGTAGGAGTTTATATGAATGCATCTCTGAGGGGAACTGACCGTCTTTAGAAAAGTTTACGTGGTATTTTCTTTTCATCTTGCCTCTGAACAGTGCATATTAAAGTAGTGTTCATAAGCGCAGCTCTGCTTTGTTCACAGCGGTAACCAAGGAAACACTGTATCATTGCTGTTCATAAGTGCCACCTGCTGTCAGAGAGTGAATCTGCGTCTCATTCAGCTCGTCTGCTCTTTCGTTCAGATATGTTTTATGTAGTATAGTTTCACAAAACTAAAGTCAGACCATTCTGTTTTTGCTTCAAATTTCGAAATGATACAGTCTAATTTAGATTAAAAACTACTCATGCTGCATGTATGCTGCATCTTTGTTTGGATCATGATTAAATCCAGTGGCTGGCTCTAATTTTAAATGGAAAGAGCGCAGACAAAGCCTTAGTTTGTTCATATTAAGAGATTTATTTTATTTGTGGAACTTGTTTGATTTGGGGGTTTGTTTTAACATTTCAGTTTAGCTTTGTTATATTTCAATTTCACAAAGGAACGTGCAGCAATAGTCTAATAAAACGACACCTTTTCATTTACTGTATAATGTATTCAATCTCATTATGTTAAAAAAAACGTGAGAAAATTGAATCGTGAAATCAAAATCGTGAATCGAATCGTGAGTTGCGTGAATCGTTACATCCCTAGTCCCTAAATTAATCTGAATGAACAGATTCAAATGATTCAATTCACTAGGATGAATCAAATGAAACCCAACCACTAGTCCAAATAAATCAATCAGCTTCTATTACATAGTGTTCATGAACTGGCTCAGATATATTTAGTCACTCACCTGGACTGTCCACCCTCTTGTAGTGGTAGGGATTGATGCACACATCTTTCTGCTTAGATCCAAAGGGGAACTCACAACACTCCAGGGCATTGAGCTCATGGTGTGACTGCAGGTCAGGCCAACGCCATACACGGCAGTAGATGACGTGAGGCAGCCCTTTCCGGTGTGACACCTGGAGCCTTCCGTCCAGTGAGCGGGGGATAGTGACACAGTTGCTTGGCTGACCGGGGCAGCTGAGTGCCCTCTCCAGCTCCTCCATAGCACCCTTCTTCTTCTTCAGCTTCTTGACCAGAGCATCCACCGCCTTCTCTGCCCACTTCTCTTCTTCATCGCCTTGCTTCCAGCCCAGCAGTCGCTTGACCGCCGGGCTGGTGAAGGAGAAGAGAGAGGTGACGTTCATAGTGGTGCCACGTGCGCCCCAGCCAACGCTGTCACAGTTACACCGCAGGAGTCAGCCACACAGAAACAAAGAATCTCTGCTCTACCTCCTCCAAGAGAATCAAAAACTCAACCACAGCGACACATCAACAGGGGTAATTGCTGAAAGTTGTGTTGTTCCAGATCTAGGTCAGATTGTCAAGTGCACCTGTAAAGAGATTAACAATTCAATCAGACATTTATACTTTGGGATCTGTTTAAGAGATTCCAGCACTGACACTAAAGGCTGGAATACACCACACGAATTGTGCCCAGATTTTTGGCCTGATTTGCAGTCTGCACAAGTCAACAGTTGTTGAAAGTCAGATCCAGACTGTAGATATACACAGAAAATTGTGTAGTGTATGATGTGTAGACTTAAATTATTTAGCTTCAGACTAGTGTTGTCACAGTCCCAAAATTTCAGTAGTCGGTACCCGACTACATAGTAAAATCCCTATGTGCTCTGTACCATAACTAGCCTATTCTAATTATTTAAATTTTATATTTTATTTACTATAAATTAAATATAAATATTACATTTATATTTTATTTACCTATTTGAAAAAATAAATATTAAATAAAATTAGTTAAAATGATTAATGCTCTTAATAATTAGTACATAATACATTAAAACAATTGTACTGCATGTAGCCTTCAGATATTATTCAATTATGTAAACATTGCATTAAAAGATCAAATGAAAGTAATAAAATAACAAAGAAACACATTACAGGTAACAGAACAAGTGGCAGGTCTATTGCACTTACACTGCAAGACTTGATGCACAGATCTATTTTGACACATCAGATTTTTTTGTCCTGTTCGTTTGGTTGGTTATCGTAGTGATACACTGCAATTTCAGATCCAGTCCTGTACTTTAATACAGTCCTCCTCCCAAAACTGAAAAATAAAACTTTTATTTTATAGTTTACAGAAACTAAGCAAACAGCGCTCCAATTATAATCAATTAAATTGATATCACTTCAGTTTAGCTGCAGCACAAGCTCACTGACTGAGAGAAAACTCCAGTTGTAATAAAAAAAATGTCCATACTGCACAATGAATCCCTTATTTAAATCTTGTTTATACTTTTGTTGGTTATAGCGAAACAATTTGCAAGTGAGTAGAGCTCACGCTGAACAAACTGTGACATAATGAGCAGATTCTGATTTACGAGCTTCAGATTGGCCTCTGCATTCACACTCTCAACAAACATGTCTCTGATTGGCTACAAAAAAGACGCTGCAAAACCACGTTGTAAATAGAAACCTTTGACGCTCTTCACAGATTGCTCAAATACAGGAGCATTTGAAAGCAGCTGCCTATCAGCAGGTACCGCATCGACCCCGTACTCGGTACTACCGGGACTGCAGAAAGGCCGGTATGGTTGCGGTTTTAAAATTTAAGTACTGACTGACTGAAGTACTGGTACTTTTGACAACACTACTTCAGACTATGGCTGTGTCCAAGAGCTGAAAAATTCTGCCTTCACAACAGCAGTAGAAAAGAAACAAGGCACATCCAAACCCTATGATTGTGTCATATCCTGTCTAATGAGATACCTTCATCCAATCAATTTTTGAAGGCACTACAGATATATCCTTAGCTGCCTATGATATTCCACTTTCCCTTGCGTTTGATAAATGAATTAAAAAATAAAATGGTGCCTGAAAGTTGAGGTTATTAGTCATTTTGTGTTTTTGAACGACTTTTGATTTAAAGGGGTGATGATATGAGAAACCAAATTTGCCTTTATCTTCCGGCATATAAGAAGTCTTTGTACCATTAAAACTTCCTGCAAGTTTCATAGCTTAAGATGTCCTCCCCATTATAAACGAAGCATTTATTTAATCAAGTTCCAAATACGGCTCGTTGTGGATCCTATGGGGCAAGTTGACGTCACCTAGCACCAGTCGTTTGCATATCTTCTTTTCTTTCTTTCTTTTATTTATTTATTTATTGAGCACTTTCATATAAAATATGACCGCCTCCAGTGCAAGACAACTACGCCTAATTTTGCATCATCGCATCGTTGTCACGCCCACAGGTGTTCAGTCGACGTGCAGCGAGTGGGTCTGAAGAAGTAGCTGTTTACAATAAGATTGCAATGCCACGCAGATGTGCCATTCCTGGCTGTGGAAAAACAACATGTTTGAATACGCTGCCGAAGTATCCAGACGTCAGGGGGAAAAAAATGGATTCAGTTTATTTTTTGCGAACGTCCCAGTCACGTCAGTGTTAATTTATGCGTATGTTCACTACATTTCACGGATGACTGTTTTGTGAACAAATCTCAGTATGATGCTGGCTTTTCATCAAAGATGAAGCCGTGCCGACTATTCTGGACACAACAACGACTCCGCAATCATAACAGTAGGCAGTTACACTGAACTCTTAAAGGGGAAAACCCCCCAAAACTGACTGTTGGAGTCAGAGGATGAGAAACAGGGTGGAAAAAGGTCCTAAATCACTAAATTTTTTAACTTTTTCGTCCAAAAAACTATAGTAATATTTAGTGCTGGGCGGTATACCAGTTCATACCGAATACCGGTGTTTATTTTTGTTATGATATGAATTTTTTAAATACCGCAATACCGGTGTATGTCGCTTAAACAACGTTC